ATACAAAGCAAACTGTGGATGCAAATCTGCCATCTCTTAGGGATAAATATGGATCTCTAGTTTCATTTAGACAAAATCTATCTAATTAAACCTAGCTGGATCAATATCTTCGATAAGAGAAGCGATAAAGAGACTAAAATCTATCTGATCACGTAGCATGCGTGAAAAAAAAAAAGATAGGAGAGATCGGAGCCCCTAATTTAGATAAATGCAATTAGCTCTGTCTCTAATTCCTCCCTCGCAACACAACAGGCGTTAACACAAAGACAAAAAAACAAAAAAACAAAAAATCTTGATCCATTCCGATCAGTCTGATATTGATTGGAAACGTGCAACCTACCTCCGCGGTGGAGCTCAGTGACGGGGCAAAGCGGGTTTGTTTACACCATTTCTCTCCGGGTGGGCATCACATCCACACGCCCTGCACGGATGCTTGTGCAGGCGAGGCGCTGTGTTTCTGCTCTCACACCTCTCTCTCTCTCTCTCTCCTCTCCTGCCACCCTGCTCTGTCTCTCTCTCTCTCCTTTCTCTCTCTCTCTCTTTGCTGCTGCTGCTCCTTGCTATCCCGAGCCCAAACGCGTGGAGGGAGCCGTGTGGCACCTCAGAGGCAGGACTGGGTGGGTTACATACCAGCTCTGATGCCAGGCCCATATGGCTGGCACGTCATTGGCAAGAGCCATCACATGAGAGTCGGTGATTGACATGCGGCCGCATTCACAGAGACTGGCTTCCCCCTGGGGGAGAGGGACTCGCCATCTGTCACTGAGCTGAAAGAGAAAATGGAATAAGGAGTGAATGGCACACACAGAAAAAAAAACGCACTGGATTCAAACAGCTTCTGTTAGCCTCCATCTTTGGGAAAAATGGGGTTAATCTCATATAGAAGGTTTAGGAAAACAATCCCCTTACGAGAAATAATTAAAGCAATCCTTATAATTATCAATTTTACAATGCTATCGTTCACACATTATTGGATTGTTATAGGATTACTCACAGGCTACTGATTGTGTTGGATAAGGAAAAAGCTGATGAATGAACCGACACATAATCCGCACAATTTATTGAATGTTTTAGTGATACAATTAGAAGAGGGCCAATAGGAACAGCTAAACCCCTATAGAAATGTTACAAGGCAAAGTCGAGTTTCCAGCAACAGGAAATTCATAAGACAGGAAGACACAAAGGCCTGGGATAAATAAGGGACCCGCCATAAAGATCAGAGTCAGGGTGCAATTGCCTAAACGAGTCAATTGAACTGAGCCAAGCAGAGCGTCTTGGTTTGGGTTGCCAGGCTTGGCACAGGTGCCTGTGGGCGGGCTGGTGCCAAAGGTGGCAGAGGCACAGATTGCAGAGAGGGGCCAGAAGATGGGGCAGGACAAGAGAGAGAGAAAGAGAGAGAGAGAGAGAGAGAGAGAAAATAAGAATGAGAAAATAGAAAGGGGGAAGGCTTTATCATCACCAAAATGTTGTTGGTGTTCAGTTTATTGGCTCACTTTTTCTTTTCTTTTTTTCTTTTTCAGTGAAACAACCAACATGCTTGAATGAGATCAAAGTGTTTCTGGTCATGACTGTCCAGTCCCATCCTCTGCTGATGAAGACTTACTGTACGGGTGCCCCTGTGTTATCATCCTAAAGGACATAAATGTAAGGAACTGCTCATTCAATTGTACTAATTCAGTGTCCATTATTCATTTTAAATGTAGTTCCTCTTTAGTATTTTTCCAAGCTGTAATAAAATGTATTTCCAGAGTCATGTTTTCTTTTTTAAATAACAATATGAATATGAATATTTAATTTAACATTAACCTACATCATGACTGATTTTGTACATCAAATTGACACTAGGCTGATGAGGAGCTTCAGATTCATATCTGTTCCCCAATAAAATTAGGATTTGATTATGATGAATTTTTTTCTATAATTTTTAAGGTTTTCTTTATGTCGTCTGTTACAACGCGATATGCAATTGCTCCCACAGCTCAGTGTGAATCTGCAGATGAGTGCTCTTTTTTCCCAGCCTTGAATAACAAAAACTTAGTTTTAAATTTAACTAATAAAACTGAGATGAGAGTTTATTGTGTTGTTTTATTCAGACTGGCTGTGAGTAATCAAATTTAAAGGGGAACACTTAAATGTTAGATTAAAAACAAGTGTGAAACGTAAACCTTCTGTCATAAATTCTTGGTTTTGGGGCTTCATAAGTTACCTTAAAATAATAATGTACAGTGCACATTATGTTCACACAGGAGCATGAACTCTGGCTTTATCTGCTATCTCAGACTACATGTGGGTGACATCTGCTGGTAATTAAAAGCTAGTGCATGTCTGGGAAATAAAATACTGGAAGTGATGTCATTCCTTTAGCTCAATAATAATCAAGATACTGAGTGAGGCCTTTAGGAATGTGTTGTAGACGTTTTACTAATGATAGTTTATGACTTTCTTGTAATTAGTGTGGGACAAAAATATGTCAATATGTCCATCTTCCAAAGATGTTTTTTTTGTTGTTTTTCTAATGTCTGTGGAGACATTTTAAGAATGTTATGATATTGTTGTTTGAAATGTTTGGTCCATCTTCACTTTATTCCAGCAGGTTTAATGTAGTGCTAATGTCAATGTTTCTGATTGGTTTAAATTACCTGAATGGTTCAAGATCACATTTATTGTTAGAATTTTGATGTTTATTGTAATCACATTTTATCCTCCAGAATATTCAGATTTGTTCATTATCTTTATGTTTTGATCATAGCCTTTTGCAGGGTTCAGATACAGGTGATTTACTGTTTAATACAACAGTTAGTCATAAAGGATTTATGCAAGTAAGTTGGTGGCTCCTAGTGGTGGTGTGAAAGAATACACTGTTCTGTGCAGCAATACTCAGCACATTACTGATAGTGACAATGATGGATTATACTGTATATTTTGTGGTCATAATACTGTAATCCTATAGATTATCTATCTGCAGCTCTCTGCTTTTTAATGTTAGCTGAGTGATTGATTGTAACATAGGTTGTTGTATATTTACATATATGCAAATATCACCTGTCTTTGGAAATAGTTCCTTTGTTTTAAACATTAGATGCCAAACTCTTCATATCACACCTTGTTTCAGGTGTGTCACACAGCGTTGCAAATGGTCATCAATACTCCATATGTTCATTTTTCAAGGACAACAGTTGAACTGGAAGTGAACTGAGCCACAGATGGGATGTTTCTAAATTTCCAAGGTGGAAGTTTTACTTTTCATCTAAAGACCTCCCGCAGCAGGTCAGAGTTTGCTGTCAGCAGCGACTCTCCCCAGAGCTGGCAGAGATCCAGGGGCCTTTCTTAAGTTCATTTCAGTACAGGGTGAACCTGTGGGCAGCTCGTGGGAACACAGGACGGCCTGCTACTTTTTCTGTCTAACAATATGTGATCTAAGACAATGTACTTACCAAGCCATTAGAAAAATATGTGAAACACTCATCATACCCACAAATGAAAGCCACCTTCCTCTCACACACACGTTTTGCCTTCTATGTTTCTCTTCCTTTCCTCTCTTCATCTTTGTGTTATCTCTTCCCCCTCTCTCTCATTCTCTCCTCTATGAATTCATATCTTTAAATGCACAATAAATTCACCATGAAGCATTATTTGTGTGAACGTTTGGCTAGGAACCTCCATCATATAATCTGACATTAAATAAAAAGCAAGAATTTGACAGCCACATGTCAGAGCAATACATTGTTGTCACCTTTCTCTGTCCTGGATTTTTTCTTTTTGTCATACATTTGCATGTAAATTTCTACTCTTCTCAAACTTACTCTGAATGCACTCACACATAGTGCATACTACACTTACTGACTGCCAACACGCAACACCATGGAGAGAAACATGTTGCCATGGCAATGAATTTCCCAACTGAATACCTTTTATATTTATTCATATATCTTTTATATATATATAGAGAGAGAGCAGTTTTGACTCTCAGTAGAAACTGAGAAACATTTAAGAAAAAAACAGGGATTTCATGATGACTTCTTTCAGCTCTTCATCACAAAATGAGAATACAAATGAACACAATGTGCATATACAATACCTCATAATTGTGGTCCACTGACAGAAAGGATATTTGGTCTGCTATGTTCTCATCTTTCTTAGGTGCAGTACGTGAAGTGCCATCTTGGTTTTAACCTCAAACTCAGATCCAGTTCACTTGTGCCAAGAATATCAAGAACAGTCAACAGTAGCAATGATGTTTCTTGATATTTCTTTTAAGACAAGATATAACTTTATTTATTCAGGGAGAAATAGTCCAGCAACAGGTGCTGTAGAAAGTAGGACAGAGTTTGAATATAAAGAGTGTGAATATAAAATATCAATGAACAGATATCTAAAATCCACAAAATTCAAAATATACACAATGCCATAATTGGCTACTGGTAAGGTTCATAAGTTGCTTCTTGGTGAGTTGTAGATGTGTATGTACATGATCGAATCTCAAAATGTTCAATGATGTCTTGTTCACGATATTGTGCGTAATGTCCCATTATGCCCCATTAGTCAGAAAGTTGTGAAGATTGTAATAATCTCTTTGAATTTGCTTTTATAATTAAAATTATGAAGTAGGTGCTGATATTATTACAATACTTGGTGATAAAGTTTGATTCAATGCTGCCTTCAATTGCTCTGTTCTTTAGTTTTTTAAGTATTATTTTCAGTAGGCTATCTTTTTTGAGTATTTTTGAATATCCTTTGATCTGCAGGCCCTTGTGGATGTTGCACTTTCTAAAACAGGCTACATAATCCTCACGAAGTGTTTTGAACTTGTGTGACATTAAAGGACTCTCCGCAGTTTTAGAAACGTCTTATTTCCATCGCATCTCAAGGGAAATTTACTTTCTGGGCCACTTTTTGCTGCAAATTTCCGACGGTAAGTGAAAGCATCGTAAAAGCTTCAGCACGCTCTCCCCACCTCCTCTCCTCTCCTCCCTCTTCCTCGTCACACAGCACAGGTCCGTACGGGCACAGTGGGAGAGAGAGACAAACGGACAGTGTGTGAAAGAGGGAGGGAGGCAGAAAGAGGCGTGAGAGAGGAGGAAGCACGCAAAGCTGTCAAACGCAACTCAAGAGGACCGGAGGGACAGATGGATGCCGCTGCTCATTAACAGCGAAATTGTTTTGAATATAAAGCTATCTATACTTATAGAACACACAGTTTGCACTTAACAGTTCACAGGCACTTGAATCGGAACCTGGACTTTTGGACATCCGTGCGCTCGGCTGCGTGGAGGTGACAGGCTGGATGCCATGGACCCGCTGCTGCCCGCAGAGACGGAGGTGATGGAGCGAGAGGCGGACAAGGACGCGAGGAGGAAGATCCAGTTCTCCGTGCCTTCCTCCGTGCCCACCCAGCTGGACCCGCGACAGGTGGAGATGGTGAGGGAGTGCCTAGGGATGGTGACAGTAGTGTGTGTGTGTGTGT